AAAGAGAGAAGAATGCAGATTGGTTGGGGGAAGGTTGGGTGGATTGGAATCTCCCCTCGTGAGTGTGTCCGATGCCCAGAGTTGACAAAAGCGAAGGAGTCCTTGATGGTTAGGCCCTTTCTTTGATGGTGAAAGATACGGTACTGTACCGTAGAGTATTGTTTTACTGTACCACTGTGAGACAACCTGTTCCGCTGTTCCACAAGAGTTCCGTCCAGTATGAAACTAAAATGTGAAATTGTGAGGAATCGGGAAATTGAAAGTGGGAATCGGAATTCAAAAATTGAATTGTGAGGAATTGTTAAATTGTAATTGTGAGGAATCTGAAAAATATTGAATTGTGAGAAATCGCAAATTTGAAATCAAAATTGTGAGAAATCCGAAACTCGAAATAGAAATTGTGAGAAATCGGAAAGTTGGAATTGTGAGAAATCAAAATTTGAAAATTGGAATTGTGAGAATCAGAATTGAAATTGTGAGGAATCAGTAAAGTTGTAATTGTGAGAAATCGGAATTTGAAAATGAAATTGTGAGAATCGAATCGATAATTGAAATTGTGAGAAACGAAAATGAAATGAAATTGTGAAAACAATGAAACTGAAATTGTGAGAAATGGAATGAATTTGAAATTGTGAGGAATCAGAAAATTGAAATTGTGAGGAATTGAAACAAAGTTGAAATTGTGAGAAATCGGAAAATTGAAATTGTGAGAAATGGAGGAAAATTGAAATTGTGAGGAATCGGGGAAATGAAAGTGAGAAATGGAAATTCGAAAATTGAAATTGTGAGGAATCGGGAAACTTGAAATTGTGAGGAATCAAAAAATTAAAAGTGAGAAGAAATTTGAAATTGTGAGAATTGGAACATGAAATTTGAGGCGGAAAAGTTGAAATGTGAGGAATCGGGATAAAATTGAAATTGTGAGAAATCAAAATAAGTTGATGTGAGGATCGACACAGTTGAAATTGTGAGAAATCACAAATAAAGTTGAATTGTGAGGAATCGGACACAAAGTTGAAATTGTGAGAAACGGAAAATTGAAGTTGTAAATTTGCTGGCTATTGTTTGCGTTTTTTTAAGAAATGATTGAGACTGAGCCACCCCTCGAAGCAACCCATGTCAATGACATTGTTTGCCTCTGTGACGCCATCCCATCTCAAGTCAAGGCCACTTCCAACATCGTGGGTTTTCTCTGGGACAGAGATCCAAACCAATATGTTCACTTCATGGAACATTCCTTTCGTTCGAAGACTGATGGGCTTCCTCCTTGGGCTAGTTCGCGATTCTTCGAATGCAGCAGAGTCCCGGGCACACACCCATCGTCGGCAGCTTTCAACGAGTGCTGCAATCCCAGCCAATGCTTCACTGAGGCGAGTGTGCAGGGTCTCCAAGGTGCCGGAGGAATGAAGTAAGCATCGTCGTGATCTCCGACAGTCGACATCGCTTTACCAAGCGTAGACTCATTCAGTGATGCAAGCAGGACCCCTTGCTCGCCTATCGTGCTATGAAAGGCGCTCTTGCACTGGGCTTGATGCGATTCCTGAGTACTTGTTGTCTTGTGTTGGTGCGATTCGCTGAGTCTCGTGGTTGCTACTTGATGAAAATGCAGTTGCTGCAGGCCATTCACGCTGTCCATCCCCACTTGCAGCGTGCCATGACTTGTGTCCTAGTCGGGGTGAGAAATCGATATCGTCTCCTCCTCGATCTGTTAGATCCAGTGGGCAACTACTCTCGTCATCATCCGCGGGTGGACAGGATATCAGTGAAGTATGAAACAAGTCTTCTCGGCGTGGGGGTGCGCCTATATTTGTTTGCGACTCTCGGAACAAGTACATGGAAGTTCCCACTGGCCATTGTTCCTCCCGGGGTGCTGAGGGCCATGACTTGTGTTCTCGTTTGGGCGGGGAATCTTGCGGATCTAGTGGATCGAGCGGATTCCTGCTAGTTTCGTCTTCATCATCGGACTTTTCCGCCATTAGTGGCGTTGTACATCTCACTTCTTCCTCACTGAGACCTTCTCGTATTTTTGCTACCTGATTTCGGACCGTGTTCAGCAAAGGCCATGACAAGCGGTCTCCCTTTTCTGTTGTCTCTGGTGACTCTTCTCGGTCCGGTAGATCCTGTGCAAAACTACATGTAGATTCGCTCTCATCTCCTGGTGGCGACTCGAATGGATCACTGCTTGCTGTTTTGCTCTCGTGTGCTCGTGGAGCCACTGCTGTTCCGTCTTGTGGACCACTATGGCTAGAACCTTCATCTCCCGGTACGGGCTCCCGTTCGGATACTGCTACTACTTGCCCACCTTGTGGCGTCGTATGCGTGCTCTCGACACGTTCGGACTGGGCCATCGACAATGGGACGGATGATGCTTGGGTGGAGTTTCGGGGTTTGTTGGTGCCCCGTAAATGCCTTGTTCGTCGTGTGGTTGGAGCCGGTTTCCCACTCAAAACTTGTCGGTACGCCCAAAACCACGAATTGTCGGGATGGGCATCCTTCCACCGGACCAACCGGGGTCTTGTGTAGATCATCCAGTTCCAGAATCCCTGTAAAGGAAACAAAATATACAATATCACCAACGGCCAAACCACGGTGGGGTCGTCGTAGAGTGCAAAAAAGGCACTGGACAGGCTGACCAGAAATGCCGCCGTGTAGCAGAGTGCCTGGTTTCGCACGGCCTTGATTCGGTTCAGTTGCGATTCGGAGGGTGCCCCCGACGCCGCGTACAATTGATTCCGCAGAGTTTGCTGTCGCACCGACCAGTAGACTCGAAAGGTGGACCCAATGCCAATAATGGCGGCAATGCCCAGGACACCCAAGTGGATGAGCCCCAGGGCTTCGGCAAAACTTCCTCGTTCACATTCGACGTCTTCATCTACCAGACAATTGGCAGATAGGGTGCCATATCGCAGACGCACGTGTAGGGCACCGGATTAAAGCCCTGAATGGCGAGCCCGGCAATGGCAAAGATTAACGGAATGACAATGGCCAGTATATGGCACCAGGGTTCCATTTTCTTGGACATTTGTTGTTCCCGCCATCCGTACTGTACGGTGAATAGAAAGTAGACACTGAGGACGGAATTGTAGATTGTGGATCCCAACCAAGTCTGCCACAAAAAGCCCGCGGCTTCACACGTCCGGACATTTCCAACGGCAAACAAGAGTCCGATATCCGAGCGAATGGTATAGGGCATGGTGATGGTAGCAATCGTCATGATGAGGTCCATCGTGGAGAGACCAAACACGATGCGATGATAGAGTTCCTTCATCTTTTTGTTGCGGACAATTATCAGCATGATGGACAACGACCAAAGATGGAAAGAATACCCGAACAAGTCGCACGGCCACGACGCCCTTGTACTGCGAGTCTGATAGAGCGGCATAGACAAACTCGTCCGTAGTAGTGGATATTGTCGTTGTGGTGTTCATCTTCCCTAGTTCTTGGTGTGTGGAAAACGAAGTCGTCAACTAGCTAGCTAGTAGTTCCAAAGATAGAAGAAATTGGCCTGCGGTACCGTACAAGTAGTCACAACAGAGAGCAATGAAGATATCACACCACAAGAAACAGCTCGGAGCGGTATCTCTCTCTTTTACAGCAGCTCTCGTGACCTCTGATTTGTTTTGTTTGTTCTTGTCATTCGTCTGTTATTGCTGCTCCTCTGCATGGTACCACTCGAGTATTGTGTTAAAGTAGTGTTGAAGATTGAAGCAATGAACGGCAGCAACTCGAACTGGCATGCAGCATGACCTCTTACTCTCTTTATGGAATTATCTATTGTCCTCGTGTCTCAGAACTCAGAATGAATGAAGCGTGAAACTAAGTGTTGTGATCGTAGAGGGTGGAGGAAGATACTTAAAGAGTTGTTTCTGTCACATAAGGCATCGGACACACAAAGATTTCAATGGTACAAAAGTTGTGGTACCTGGTACCGGTACGAGAGCCCCTGAAACGCACCGGTTGTATTATACGTATAACATTTTCACTATGTATTTACAGATTATACGTATTACACATATAACATTTTTAATATGTATAAACAAGTTATACGTATAACACAGATAACACAAGTGGAACAATATTATACGTATTACATGTATTATGTGTTGTACGTATTTGACGTATTACATGTATTATGTGTTATACGTATTTTACGTATAATACACAGCGACGAATTTTTGCTAAGTTTTTTTGCCAGGTGTTTTCTTGCAAGGTGTTTTGCCAGGTGTTTGGAGGCAGAGAGGAAGATGCATGTTGCAGGCCATAATACCTAACAGCTTATCAAGTAAAATGGACTCTTACTATCTGAACTCTCTCATGTTGCTAGATACAATATCAATGATGAAGAATGACTCCTGCTTCAATCATTTGAATGTAGCAACCTCAACTAGCTGATGATACGCAAAGGAGATAAACATTATGGATATCTGGGGTTCGATAATTATCGAATGGAGAAATCGACGGGTATTGGCTACCTTCGATGTATCAATCTTTGATCCGGCGCATATTAAAGAAGTTTTGATGCCATACTTTGTACTTCCTTGCAAGACTGCTGGATTCCGATCAAAAACAAGGGATTTGATAAGAGGCGGAATACATTACCATATGTTGTCCAAGGAGTCATCGAATGGCTTCTTGAATACATGTAACAAGTTGCGGGGAGTGATTTGTTCGGGAAAAAAGGACCAGGATTGCAGGGCCAAAGGGAATCCCCTCCTCAGATTCCTCAGCCTTCGTTCTTCTGCATCATTCTCGTTTGCCCCGTGATCGTCTTGCGGACCAGATTCATCGTCAGAATCCACCATGATGCCTAAACAAAAACTAAAACAAGAAAACAAAAAGGTGAGACAACGAACACGGGTAATACGTATAATACAGGTAATACGTATAATACAGGTAATACATATAATACAGGTGATACGTATAACACGGGTGATATGCATAATACATTACACCTGTTACACGTATAACATGGGTGATACATATAATACACTTACATGATAACACGTGTTACACGGTAACATGTATAACACGTGTTGCGCGCTACTGAGGTACTTACATGGGTTCATACTGGTCCCTACAGAAAGTTGTTGACAATGGTGTAGTAATTCAAGGCCAGGTCTTCCACAGGCTTCCGTCAGTGAGCTTCAGAAATATATGAATGCAAAGAGAATGGTCCTGTGAGCTGACAAAGCCTGATAAAGAGAGTGGGGGCAGGAGAATGAAGAAGGAGTTGAATGGAGAGAAATCCTTCTATCTTTCAACAGAAACAGTCTTCTTGGCTTCAACAAAGCCATAACACATTGCCTACTTACCCACAATGATGGTTCTATCTTCAAATAACAACTAGAAACCTTTGTATCCTTCAAAACAAACAAAGAAGAGAGGTTGTTGTCATGGTGGTGTGTTCTGTGTGTGGAGATTGGTGGAGATTGGTGTTGAGCCATTTTGCGAACGGTCATTCGAACGGTCACGGAGGCTGGCTGAGCGACGTGTGATATTCGTGTAATACGTGTTATACGTATTATACAGGGATATACGTAATACGTATTATAACCGGAAGAATACGTAGAATACGTCACTTGTACGTATTACATGTATTACATCGGCGTGCTCGTGCGCTGAGCGGTCATCTAGTGCGGTACTACTAGTTAGCCAGTTCGCCGTACCAGTAGTTGGGTCCCTGAAACCTTACAATCCCAAGGCTACCGGTAGTCTACATGTACGCATGTACGTATACTCAACAACACCAACAGTGTTTGTGTTTGTTGGAAGACCCATCATGTTGGATTTCGTGTGGGACTGGAGCCATAGTGGCATCATCTTGTCGCTGCGCCCACCCGACGAAGAGGTGTGAATTGAGACAATGAGCCGCAAATTTAGGCTGCCTGCCTGTAGCTATAGAATGCTGCTTGCTGAATGGATTGTTTCGTTGGCTTCTTGGCTGAACTGTTGCACTTGTCTATTTCTCTTATTCTATGCTTTATTTATTTTCTATAACAACTATCAATACTGTCCTGCAGCCAGTGCCTTACATGGAAAAAGTGAAGAAAATGTCCTGTTCTGTCTGCAGCAAGTGAGCTAACTCTTCTTCAAACGAGTACACAAGCACTCCTTGTTCGATCAATGTATCAATGGCTTGTACATTCCCCTGGACATGAGTGATATCCAAGATTTCCACCTTGACATTGCCTTGTTCATTCCTGGTAGATTCTGGAACCTCTGGAGTCATGGCGAAATCGTAGCGATATCCTTCCTTCAGGTCGTCTCTGGTGCGTGCCACAAATCCAGAGCGGGGAACGGATCCCCACATTTGCATCTTTCTCCAACCATTCACTTGATTTTCTGTCAGTTCAAATCTGTGTGAATCCACTTGAAACTTGCTGTCAAATTGGATGGTGATGAGGACAGATCGATCTTGTGGTTGTACTTGTTCTTGTGGACTAGCAACATCAAGGTTTGTAGCTTGAAGGGTGGAAGGAATTTGAGGTGCTCCCAGAGCAGAAGCAACATTGGAGGTTCCGCGCAGTCCTGATGAGGGAGCATCTTGTGCTTTGGCAACGAAGAGGGAGGCAAAGAGGACAATGAAAGAGATTGTCTTCATGATGATTTTTGGTGTTTTGTGTGTGATTTGTGTTTTTTTGCTTTGGCTTGGTTTCTGTGAGATCCTCCCAGAGGAGAGCTAGCTAGAGCCGAGTCTGGCTATAGGCACTTTTACATACAGCTTTGGATACGCTTGGTTCTTTCGATGCTCCGATGCGCTTGGTTCATTCATTCCAGCCGCGACCAGACAGCGCACATGCATGGCTCGATCGCGGTTGAAGACTAGACTACTGTACAGAGAGTTGCGTCACTTTGTTTTCTGCACAAGAGGCAACCAAACTAAGCCAGCAGAAACGTCTGAGTCCACCCTGGAGGAATAATGACTTCAGAGTCTTTTACACCGCACCGTCGGAACCCTTTCTTTCCATGTTTAGAGCGGTGTTGGAAGTCTCGACCCACATCAACCATTCCTTTTACCAAGAGGAACTGTTGACATAACGATGGGAGGTATTCATTCCCAGCCACTGGCTGAGATCAGCAAAGAGGATGTAGCAAGGCGTGTGGTATCGTTAGGAGCAGATTACCAGGTTTATTCTCTGTTAGTGGATGACAATGGGATTGATGGAGACCTGTTGTCGGAAATGGACGAAGACATCTTCTTGGAAACTCTAGATGACATTGGCCTGGACAATCCCACACATCGTGCCAAGTTGCTGCAGGAATTTCACAAGTGCGCTCGAGGCTATACCATTGAAGTACAACAGCAGCAGCATCCTATGCAACAAAACACAGTCTTCCAGGAAGTCCGCGGGCCGGTCACCCTTTTGGGCCACAGGACGTTGCCATCTCCGTACTGGAAGCATGCAGCGAACAGTACAACGACGAGATTCCATGCAAAACCCCACCTATAATGTGGATCATCCCAATCGAGCCACTACGGAGGCCGAACAAGCTCATTTGGCACCCAATTTCTTCCAAAAACTGGACGCTGTGCCCGAAGCCACACGACCACCCATTAGAAAGGACGACATGGATCGCGTGGCGTTGGTGGAAAGTTACCGATTGCAAGATATTGAACCTGATTCGGATATTGCCCAAAAATTAGTAGGGTTGGTTCAAATGGCCATGAATCTATTTGATGTCGATCTTGGAGATATTACATTTCTCAATCATGAATGTCAATACAGTCTGGCGCGAGTTGGATTAACCGAGCCCATGGAAGAGGCCATTGTGGATAAGGTCTATGAGGTCATCAATCATTCACAAGATGGAAAACCCTTCCTCTGCAAAACATCACGGTCTATTGGGATTTGCAATTTTCCAACCTACTCGGGAGAGAGTTTTATTGTGCCGGATATTGAACAGGATATTGCCTTTCAGTGGATGCGGGTGGTGTGGCCATTTCGATGTTACATGGGAGCACCGCTTTGACGGATCTCTCTTTTTCAAAAACCAAAAAAAAAAAAAAAACGCCCCCAAAAACCCAAAAAAAACAGAAAGGACCGGGGGGGGGGGGGGGGGGTGGGGGTGAAGGGGGGGAGGGGCGGGGGGGAACGGGGGGGGGGGGGGGGGGAAAAAAAAAAAAAAAAGGGGGGGGAAAAAAAACAAAAAAAAAAAAAAAAACAAAAAAAAAAAACAAAAAAAGGGGGGGGGGGGGAAAAAAGGGGGAAAAAAATGGGGGCCCCCGGGGGGTTTTTTTTGGGCGTGTGCGCCGCCGGTCGGAAAAGGGGGGGAAAAAAAGCCCCCGGTGCTCCCAGGTAACATCGAAATGGCCACACCACCCGCATCCACTGAAAGGCAATATCCTGTTCAATATCCGGCACAATAAAACTCTCTCCCGAGTAGGTTGGAAAATTGCAAATCCCAATAGACCGTGATGTTTTGCAGAGGAAGGGTTTTCCATCTTGTGAATGATTGATGACCTCATAGACCTTATCCACAATGGCCTCTTCCATGGGCTCGGTTAATCCAACTCGCGCCAGACTGTATTGACATTCATGATTGAGAAATGTAATATCTCCAAGATCGACATCAAATAGATTCATGGCCATTTGAACCAACCCTACTAATTTTTGGGCAATATCCGAATCAGGTTCAATATCTTGCAATCGGTAACTTTCCACCAACGCCACGCGATCCATGTCGTCCTTTCTAATGGGTGGTCGTGTGGCTTCGGGCACAGCGTCCAGTTTTTGGAAGAAATTGGGTGCCAAATGAGCTTGTTCGGCCTCCGTAGTGGCTCGATTGGGATGATCCACATTATAGGTGGGGTTTTGCATGGAATCTCGTCGTTGTACTTGCTGCTGCTGCTTCCATTAGCGGAGATGGAACGTCCTGTGGCAAAAGCCGGCCGACGGTGACTTCCTGGATACTGTGTTGTTGTTGCTGAGGATGCTGCTTTTGTACTTCAATGGTGTAACCACTGGTACACTTGTGAAATTCCTGCAGCAACTTGGCACGATGTGTGGGATTGTCCAGGCCAATGTCATCTAGAGTTTCCAAGAAGATGTCTTCGTCCATTTCCGACAACAGGTCTCCATCAATCCCATTGTCATCCACTAACAGAGAATAAACCTGGTAATCTGCTCCTAACGATACCACACGCCTTGCTACATCCTCTTTGCTGATCTCAGCCAGTGGCTGGGAATGAATACCTCCCATCGTTATGTCAACAGTTCCTCTTGGTAAAAGGAATGGTTGATGTGGGTCGAGACTTCCAACACCGCTCTAAACATGGAAAGAAAGGGTTCCGACGGTGCGGTGTAAAAGACTCTGAAGTCATTATTCCTCCAGGGTGGACTCAGACGTTCGCTGGCTTAGTTGGTCCTCTTGTGCAGAAAACAAAGTGACGCAACTCTCTGTACAGTAGTCTAGTCTTCAACCGCGATCGAGCCATGCATGTGCGCTGTCTGGTCGCGGCTGGAATGAATGAACCAAGCGCATCGGAGCATCGAAAGAAACAAGCGTATCCAAAGCTGTATGTAAAAGTGCCTATAGCCAGACTCGGCTCTAGCTAGCTCTCCTCTGGGAGGATCTCACAAGAAAACAAAGCCAAAGGCAAAAACACAATCACACACAAAACACCAAAAATCATCATGAAGACAATCTCTTTCATTGTCCTCTTTGCCTCCCTCTTCGTTGCCAAAGCACAAGATGCTCCCTCATCAGGACTGCGCGGAACCTCCAATGTTGCTTCTGCTCTGGGAGCACCTCAAATTCCTTCCACCCTTCAAGCTACAAACCTTGATGTTGCTAGTCCACAAGAACAAGTACAACCACAAGATCGATCTGTCCTCATCACCATCCAATTTGACAGCAAGTTTCAAGTGGATTCACACAGATTTGAACTGACAGAAAATCAAGTGAATGGTTGGAGAAAGATGCAAATGTGGGGATCCGTTCCCCGCTCTGGATTTGTGGCACGCACCAGAGACGACCTGAAGGAAGGATATCGCTACGATTTCGCCATGACTCCAGAGGTTCCAGAATCTACCAGGAATGAACAAGGCAATGTCAAGGTGGAAATCTTGGATATCACTCATGTCCAGGGGAATGTACAAGCCATTGATACATTGATCGAACAAGGAGTGCTTGTGTACTCGTTTGAAGAAGAGTTAGCTCACTTGCTGCAGACAGAACAGGACATTTTCTTCACTTTTTCCATGTAAGGCACTGGCTGCAGGACAGTATTGATAGTTGTTATAGAAAATAAATAAAGCATAGAATAAGAGAAATAGACAAGTGCAACAGTTCAGCCAAGAAGCCAACGAAACAATCCATTCAGCAAGCAGCATTCTATAGCTACAGGCAGGCAGCCTAAATTTGCGGCTCATTGTCTCAATTCACACCTCTTCGTCGGGTGGGCGCAGCGACAAGATGATGCCACTATGGCTCCAGTCCCACACGAAATCCAACATGATGATCTTCCAAAAACAACAAACATGTTTGGTGTTGTTGAGATATCGTACATGCAGTACATGTAGACTAGCGGTAGACTTGGGATTGTAAGGTTTCAGGGACCCAACTACTGGTACGGCGAACTGGCTACTAGTAGTACCGCACTGAGAGACCCTCAAACGCCCGCGATGTAATACATGTAACACGTACAATGCGTATTCTACGTATTCCAGTATAAAATTCGTATTCTACGTATTCCCGTATAAGACGTATTACACGTATTACACGTATTACACGGTCGCCAGCCAGCCTCCGTGACCGTTCGAATGACCGTTCGCAAAATGGCTCAACACCTATCTCCACCAATCTCCACCAAAAAGAACCACCATGACAAAAACCTCTCTTCTCTTGTTTGTTGGAAGGATACAAAGGTTTCTGTTGTTATTTGAATATAGTACCATCATTGTGGGTAAGTTGGCAATGTGGTATGGCTTTGTTGAAGCAAAGAAGACTGTTTCTGTGGAAATATAGAAGGATTTCTCTCCCTTCAACTCCTTCTTCATTACTTCTGCCCCCACTCTCTTATCAGGCTGTGTCAAGCTCACAGGACCATTCTCTTTGCTTTCATATACTTCTGAAGGCTAACTGACGAAGCCTGTGGAAGACCTGGCCTTGAATTCTAACATTGTGAACCACTTTCCATTGTCAACCACTTTCTGTAGGGACCAGTACTGAAACCATGTAAGTACCTCAGTCAGTGCGCAACACGTGTTACGCGTGTAACACTTGTTATGGTGTAACACGTTTTATGCATGTAATGTGTATTATATGTATCACCCATGTTATACGTGTAACAGGTGTAACATGTATGATGCATATCACCCGTGTTATACGTATCACCTGTATTATACGTATCACCCGTGTTATACATATCACCCGTGTGATACGTATCACCTGTATTTTACGTATTACCCGTGTTCTTTGTCTCACCTATTTTTGTGTTCTTGTTTAGTATTTTCGTTTAGGCATCATGGTGGATTCTGACGATGAATCTGGTCCGCAAGACGATCACGGGGCAAACGAGAATGATGCAGAAGAGACGAAGGCTGAGGAATCTGAGGAGGGGATTCCCTTTGGCCCTGACAATCCTGGTCCTTTTTTCCCCGAACAAATCACTCCCCGCAACTTTGTTACATGTATTCAAGAAGCCATTCCGATGACTCCTTGGACAACATATGGTAATGTGATTCCGCCTCTTATCAAATCCCTTGTTTTTGATGCGGAATCCAGCAGTCTTGCAAGGAAGTACAAAGTATGGCATCAAAACTTCTTTAATATGCGCCGGATCACAAGATTGATACATCGAAGGTAGCCAATACACCGTCGATTTCTCAATTCGATAATTATCGAACCCCAGAGTATCCATAAAGGGTTGGGGGGGGGGGGGGGGGGGGGGGGTTTATCTCCTTTGGCGGATCATCAGCTAGTGAGGTTGCTACTTTCACAATGATGGAAGCAGGAGTCCAATCTTCATCATTGATATTGTATCTAGCAACATGGGAGAGTTCAGTTAGGTAAGAGTCCATTTTTCTTGATAAGCTGTCAGGTTTTATGGCCTGCAACAGTGCATCTTCCTCTCTGCCTCCAAAACACCTGGCAAAACACCTTGCTAAGAAAACAACTGGCAAAAAAACTTAGCAAAAATTCGTCGCTGTTTATTATACGTAAAATACGTATAACACATAATACATGTAATAAGTACAATGCGTATCGTGTAATACGTGTAATACATGTAATACGTATAATATTTTGTTCCACTTGTGTTATCTGTGTTATACGTATAACTTGTTTAATACATATTAAAAATGTTATATGTGTAATACGTATAATCTGTAGAATACATAGTGAAAATGTTATACGTATAATACAACCGCGTGCGTTTCAGGGGCTCTCGTACCGGTACCAGGTACCACAACTTCATTAGTACCATTGAAATCTTTGTGTGTCCGATGCCTTATGTGACAGAAACAACTCTTTAAGTATCTTCCTCCACCCTCTACGATCACAACACTTAGTTTCACGCTTCATTCATTCTGAGTTCTGAGACACGAGGACAATAGATAATTCCATAAAGAGAGTAAGAGGTCATGCTGCATGCCAGTTCGAGTTGCTGCCGTTCATTGCTTCAATCTTCAACACTACTTTAACACAATACTCGAGTGGTACCATGCAGAGGAGCAGCAATAACAGACGAATGACAAGAACAAACAAAACAAATCAGAGGTCACGAGAGCTGCTGTAAAAGAGAGAGATACCGCTCCGAGCTGTTTCTTGTGGTGTGATATCTTCATTGCTCTCTGTTGTGACTACTTGTACGGTACCGCAGGCCAATTTCTTCTATCTTTGGAACTACTAGCTAGCTAGTTGACGACTTCGTTTTCCACACACCAAGAACTAGGGAAGATGAACACCACAACGACAATATCCACTACTACGGACGAGTTTGTCTATGCCGCTCTATCAGACTCGCAGTACAAGGGCGTCGTGGCCGTGGCGACTTGTTCGGGTATTCTTTCCATCTTTGGGTCGTTGTCCATCATGCTGATAATTGTCCGCAACAAAAAGATGAAGGAACTCTATCATCGCATCGTGTTTGGTCTCTCCACGATGGACCTCATCATGACGATTGCTACCATCACCATGCCCTATACCATTCGCTCGGATATCGGACTCTTGTTTGCCGTTGGAAATGTCCGGACGTGTGAAGCCGCGGGCTTTTTGTGGCAGACTTGGTTGGGATCCACAATCTACAATTCCGTCCTCAGTGTCTACTTTCTATTCACCGTACAGTACGGATGGCGGGAACAACAAATGTCCAAGAAAATGGAACCCTGGTGCCATATACTGGCCATTGTCATTCCGTTAATCTTTGCCATTGCCGGGCTCGCCATTCAGGGCTTTAATCCGGTGCCCTACACGTGCGTCTGCGATATGGCACCCTATCCTGCCAATTGTCTGGTAGATGAAGACGTCGAATGTGAACGAGGAAGTTTTGCCGAAGCCCTGGGGCTCATCCACTTGGGTGTCCTGGGCATTGCCGCCATTATTGGCATTGGGTCCACCTTTCGAGTCTACTGGTCGGTGCGACAGCAAACTCTGCGGAATCAATTGTACGCGGCGTCGGGGGCACCCTCCGAATCGCAACTGAACCGAATCAAGGCCGTGCGAAACCAGGCACTCTGCTACACGGCGGCATTTCTGGTCAGCCTGTCCAGTGCCTTTTTTGCACTCTACGACGACCCCACCGTGGTTTGGCCGTTGGTGATATTGTATATTTTGTTTCCTTTACAGGGATTCTGGAACTGGATGATCTACACAAGACCCCGGTTGGTCCGGTGGAAGGATGCCCATCCCGACAATTCGTGGTTTTGGGCGTACCGACAAGTTTTGAGTGGGAAACCGGCTCCAACCACACGACGAACAAGGCATTTACGGGGCACCAACAAACCCCGAAACTCCACCCAAGCATCATCCGTCCCATTGTCGATGGCCCAGTCCGAACGTGTCGAGAGCACGCATACGACGCCACAAGGTGGGCAAGTAGTAGCAGTATCCGAACGGGAGCCCGTACCGGGAGATGAAGGTTCTAGCCATAGTGGTCCACAAGACGGAACAGCAGTGGCTCCACGAGCACACGAGAGCAAAACAGCAAGCAGTGATCCATTCGAGTCGCCACCAGGAGATGAGAGCGAATCTACATGTAGTTTTGCACAGGATCTACCGGACCGAGAAGAGTCACCAGAGACAACAGAAAAGGGAGACCGCTTGTCATGGCCTTTGCTGAACACGGTCCGAAATCAGGTAGCAAAAATACGAGAAGGTCTCAGTGAGGAAGAAGTGAGATGTACAACGCCACTAATGGCGGAAAAGTCCGATGATGAAGACGAAACTAGCAGGAATCCGCTCGATCCACTAGATCCGCAAGATTCCCCGCCCAAACGAGAACACAAGTCATGGCCCTCAGCACCCCGGGAGGAACAATGGCCAGTGGGAACTTCCATGTACTTGTTCCGAGAGTCGCAAACAAATATAGGCGCACCCCCACGCCGAGAAGACTTGTTTCATACTTCACTGATATCCTGTCCACCCGCGGATGATGACGAGAGTAGTTGCCCACTGGATCTAACAGATCGAGGAGGAGACGATATCGATTTCTCACCCCGACTAGGACACAAGTCATGGCACGCTGCAAGTGGGGATGGACAGCGTGAATGGCCTGCAGCAACTGCATTTTCATCAAGTAGCAACCACGAGACTCAGCGGTAATCGCACCAACACAAGAACAACAAGTACTCAGGAATCGCATCAAGCCCAGTGCAAGAGCGCCTTTCATAGCACGATAGGCGAGCAAGGGGTCCTGCTTGCATCACTGAATGAGTCTACGCTTGGTAAAGCGATGTCGACTGTCGGAGATCACGACGATGCTTACTTCATTCCTCCGGCACCTTGGAGACCCTGCACACTCGCCTCAGTGAAGCATTGGCTGGGATTGCAGCACTCGTTGAAAGCTGCCGACGATGGGTGTGTGCCCGGGACTCTGCTGCATTCGAAGAATCGCGAACTAGCCCAAGGAGGAAGCCCATCAGTCTTCGAACGAAAGGAATGTTCCATGAAGTGAACATATTGGTTTGGATCTCTGTCCCAGAGAAAACCCACGATGTTGGAAGTGGCCTTGACTTGAGATGGGATGGCGTCACAGAGGCAAACAATGTCATTGACATGGGTTGCTTCGAGGGGTGGCTCAGTCTCAATCATTTCTTAAAAAAACGCAAACAATAGCCAGCAAATTTACAACTTCAATTTTCCGTTTCTCACAATTTCAACTTTGTGTCCGATTCCTCACAATTCAACTTTATTTGTGATTTCTCACAATTTCAACTCTGTGTCCGATTCCTCACAATTCAACTTTATTTTTGATTTCTCACAATTTCAATTTTGATCCCGATTCCTCACAATTTCAACTTTGTTTCCGATTCCTCAAAATTTCAATTGTTCCCAATTCCTCACAATTTCAATTTTTCACGATTCCTCACAATTTCAAGTTTCCCTGATTCCTCACAATTTCAAGTTTCCCCGATTCCTCACAATTTCAATTTTCGAATTTCTGATTCCTCACAATTTCAATTTTCCCCGATTCCTCACAATTTCAATTTTCCTCCATTTCTCACAATTTCAATTTTCCCCGATTTCTCACAATTTCAACTTTGTTTCCAATTCCTCACAATTCCAATTTTCCTGATTCCTCACAATTCCAATTTCCCAATTTCTCACAATTTCAAGTTTCCATTGTTTCTCACAATTTCAATTTTCGATTTTCCCTGGTTTCTCACAATTTCAATTATCGATTTTCCGATTTCTCACAATTTCATTTTTCAAATTTCCGATTTCTCACAATTACAACTTTACTGATTCCTCACAATTTCAATTTCTGATTTCTCACAATTCCAATTTTCAAATTTTGATTTCTCACAATTCCAACTTTCCGATTTCTCACAATTTCTATTTCGAGTTTCGGATTTCTCACAATTTTAGTTTTCAAATTTGCGATTTCTCACAATTTTTATTTTTCAGATTCCTCACAATTACAACTTAACAATTCCTCACAATTTCAATTTTTGAATTTCCGATTCCTCACATTTTCAATTTTCCCGATTCCTCACAATTTCAACATTTTAGTTTCATACTGGACGGAACTCTTGTGGAACAGCGGAACAGGTTGTCTCACAGTGGTACAGTAAAACAATACTCTACGGTACAGTACCGTATCTTTCACCATCAAAGAAAGGGCCTAACCATCAAGGACTCCTTCGCTTTTGTCAACTCTGGGCATCGGACACACTCACGAGGGGAGATTCCAATCCAACCCAACCTTCCCCCAATCCAATCTGACATTCCTTGAGTTTCAGGCTCTGTTGTTTTACCAATCAACCATCCATCCATCATCCATCTAAACAAAGTACAGCAATCAATTGCAAACAACAATAATGGGCAGCGACCTGTCAGTTCCGTTGGATGAAGCCACCAAGGATGATGTTGTGGCCCGAGTGACAAGCTTGGGTGAAAAATTCGAGGGCTACGCCGACGCCATTGACGAGAATGGTGTCGATGGCGATCTCCTTGTGGGGATGAACGAAGATGACTTTCAAGAGACAATGGATGATTTGGGTATTACTTCCCGATTGCATCGTCGCAAGTTATTGCAAGAATTTCGCAAGGCTTGTGAAACTCTGGATGGAGGGTCTACCGTGTCGTCGTACACCCCCGAGGATGAATATGGAATGCTGCTGCTCCCTGATAAAGGACCCATTGAAGGAGTTTTTCCGGCTGAAATTGAATTGAGGCACGAGGATTTCCCGCTTCCAGAACAGCTGGGGGAAGGAGTTTTACGAACCTCTCACGAATTGCCCACTTTTCAGCAAGGATTGGCCCAGACGGACGAAGAAATGCAACATTTGAGCAACGATTTCTTTGGTGCCATTGATGGAATCGACGGTGGTCACCGCCCACCCATTCCCGCCGATGATTTGGAACGAGTGGCTCAGGTCCAGGCATATGGGTTGGAAGAAATCGAACCCGACGGTGAGGCTGCCAAAACATTGATTGGTTACGTGGAAATGGCGACCAAGCTATTTGCCTTTGATTTTGGAGATATTACATTCTTTGATCACGAATCCCAATTCTCCTTTGCCAGAGTTGGATTGACCGAGCATATTCAAAAAGCAATCTTGGGGCCGATATACCGACCCGTCAACCAAATGGCCGATCATGCGGCGTTTCTCTGCAAAACCAACAGGAGTATCGGGATCTGCAACTATACCAATCTCTCCAAACGAACCTTTGTCGTGCATGATATACATGCCGACGAGACATTTAAATGGATGAAGGGTTCTTGGCCCTTTCGCTGCTATGTTGGAACGCCATTGATATCACCATCGGGATTGGTTCTGGGAACCTTGTGCCTCCACAATATTGAACCTCGGCCCGATTTCTCGAGAGCACACGAAATCCAATTTGAACAGGTAGCACGCATGGTCGTTCAGGCCATTGAAAATTGGTCGCTCCGTCGACGCATTCAGCAGCTCGAAGCAAACAGAGAGGACGTGGTGCAAATCAATGCCAATAAAACAGCGCCACCGGAAGAAACGGGAGCCTTTGTCAAACTCTTCATTGACGGATACGCAGCACTGCAAACAGCAGCATCGGAGACAGTACTACAAGGCGCGCTGGAAATGTACGGCGCCATTGTGGCCAAGCAACGCATCGAACACAATGGGTATAAAGTAGCGGAGGAAGCTAGTGACGGATCCTTCCTGATTGTGTTCCACGATGCCGTCGATGCCTTTTCGTTTGCACTCGACGTACAGCAACAATTGTACGAGGCGACGTGGTCGGCAGAACTCCTGGCAGATCCACAAGCCTGTGATGATGGCAATGCTGCCCGTGGATTGCGCGTGTGCGCAGGTGTTCACATGGGACCCCTGGGAACAACCGAGGATACCAAGCACTCTGGTCCCACTGTGGAAATGACTCGTGCCGTAGCCGCCATGGGTCACGGAGGGCAAGTTCTGACCACTTTTGACACTTGGAATTCAGCTTCCTTCTTGTCGGAGACCAAGCTAGATTCGCCTCAGGTGGTAGATCTTGGTAGTCACGTTGTCCAAAAGGGGAAGGCATTGTCCGAAGGAGTCATTTCGAAGCGAATTCTTCAACTGGTGCCAGCGGCGCTGGCAGTCAAGTACATTACCGAGACGGGTGAGCAAGCAGTAAACCAATCTGGTGCCCCGAAAGGACGACAATTTCCAGATTTGAAGAGCTTGAAAAAGCTCTCCAAGAGTTTCTTTGATGCTCCTTCCGGCAAGGAAGTAACCATTGCATTCATCGGTACCGGTGAACTCGAGAAGCGGTACAAAGAGTCGTCGAGCATTATTGCTGAGGTCATTGGCCACGCATCCTCGTTGTTACCGACCTCCGAAGGGTACCAGTGCCAGAACAACATGTTCGCCTTTCCAAACGTCACCGAGGCCGTTCGATTCGGTCTTCGGTTCATCGAATTAATGAGGGCCCAGCGGCCCTTGGAAGACAATGCTGATATTGCACGACTTGTCACGTTTGGGTGTGTTCATGGATCGTTTGTGGCACTGGAGCCACACAAAACTACGGGACGGGCAGATTACTTTGGAAAGGTGGTGAACCGTGCGGCCCGTGTTGCTTACACATCAGAATTGGGAAAGGTCTCTGTGGGTGTCACTGTGGCAGATGCTCCTGAAGATTTCAAATCCTTCCAAGTGGATGATCCGACGGTTTGGGTTCTCTTCGTGGCCAAGAAACAGCTCAAAGGGGTAGAAGAAGAAATGGTGATTTACGAGTGCAAGAGGAAGCGATCGCTTGGACAGATGGTACGCAAGTGGTTCAGCGCTGATGAGATAATATAGTCGTTGTATCGATGCTGAAAATTGCCTCTCAGCTGTCAGCCAGGGATTGGGCTCGGTAAAGCTTACTCAGGCGTTGGAAACCACGACTCCCGCGGCTTGACAGCCGGGGCACAGACAGCGCGTATCCAGCTGTGTATCCCTTGATTGCTGGTCGGCATGGAAACGCTGCAACGAGCCGGTGGCAAACCTGCGTCAGTCAAGGAAACTCCAACTTGCCCTAAATACACTGGTACTAGCTACAGAGGTTGCACCGGTAGCAAACAGCCATGTTTGTTTTCGGATGCCTTCTCAAAAACCTAAAGAGTTCACTTTTTCAATTTAGTAAAAAGAGGGAAACTTGAAACCACTTCTTTAGATCCTCCAGAGTACTACGACTGTAGTAGTGAATTCATTGTCAGTCGATTGCCGGAGCTTGAAAAAGAAACCAGAACGCAAAGGAGCGATCATCGACTTCCAACCAACCGTGCTGCATGCACCCAGCTCGAACCTGGTAATATCCCCACAACAAAGCCCGTGAGAGTCAAGTCCATACTCCTTGTACCCCATATTTTGTACATTTGAAAGTTTTAGTCCCCTGGTTGTAGCGCAGCCGAGTAGAGGTGAGCGAGATTGTCAGAGAGTCGCGACGACTTCTTAGTTGCTTCACCCAACAGTTCTGTGACGCCATGGGAGCCTCGTCATCCAAGCTCGAAGGTGTCACCAATGATTTCGAGATGGTGGTCCGTGTTGCCAAAGAACTCGACAGAGTCTTGGCGAGGGACTTTGGACTGTCGGAACATCGACAGCTGGGCGATAAGATCCAAGCTTTGAAAGAGCAGGGGGGTGTTTCTGCACGCACCATCATGAACATGAGGACCCTCGTCCACTGGAGGAATACGCTAATCCACGATTATGATTGCAGTGGCCTACAAGACTTGAATACCAGTCGATATAAATTCCAATGCCTCTACGCTGAGACACAACGAGAGCTGGCCAGTGTCGTTGCTGCTAAGCAACGGGAGCTTGTAATCTACCGTACCGATACAACCACAGCTGAAGCACCGAGCGGTTGGGCACTGCTTGGAGCCGCCGTTGCCGTGGGTGTCGTCTCATATGCCCTCGCTGCTGCAGACGAAGGAGAAGAGGAAAAGAGAAAGGAACGCCGCCGTCGACAGAAACGCTCGTCGTATCATTACTAGATGGTCTAATGGACTCTCTGAGTACGATTTGGTTTATCATGCAGGAGTCAGCTACTAAATATATTTTCATAGAGCTGGCGACTAACTACTCCACGGTGGTTTTCCACGCCTTTGGGGGAAGATCACTTTCGTGGTTTCACCCGTCAGTATTTTAGCTTAGCCAGCTTCTGTTATCGATCTTGGGGCTTTCCGCAAGATCCGTTTAGTAGTGCCATCGCACGTCTCCTCCAAGCCATTCGTTGCCGTGTTGCCGTGGAGTGTTGGGCTTGCTGCAGTTGTCATAAAACAGACATCAAACCTATCTGAAAGTAATCATGACTGCTGAACTGAAACCCCCTGTGGCTCGCCGTGAAGAAGACCGTGTCGTCTATGCTGGTGCTGCTCCTCCTGGTTGGGACCCAAAGATTGTCCGTCAATCAGAGTCATCAAAGGAGAAGTTGTTGGACCCTCCAGTGCCCGTGCCTGATCCCTATGGATGGATGCGAGACGATGAACGCAAAAATGAAGAGGTTCTAGAGCATCTCAAAAAGGAGAATGAGTACTCCAAAGGTTTGACCCAACATTTGGACGGCCTCCGTCAGACCCTCTATGACAGCATGTTGAGCAGCATTGTCGAGACGGACTACACTGTTCCTCGCCCTGATGGTGACTACTACCTTTACTCTCGCACATTCAAGGGAAAGTCCTACCGAATGCACTGCAGGGCTCCCCGTGACAAAACGAAGCCACTACAGAAAATTGAATGGGATGGAACCGCCGAGTCACCCATTTTGCCGGGAGAAGAGGCGTACATGGATGTCAACGTGTTGGCCGAGGGCAAAGAATTTTGTAGCCTTGGAGGCTTGGCGATTTCACCCTCCAAGAAGCTATTAGCCTACTCCGTGGATTTTTCGGGTGATGAGACTTATCACCTGCATGTGATCAACCTGGCGACCAAAGAACAGATCTTTCAGGATCCCAAATTGATCATTAGGGGATCGATCAAGTGGGGTCTGGATGATTCCGACATTTACTACCACACAATGGATGAAACTAAACGACCTTACCAATTCTGGAGGAAGAGGCTCAACAGTGGTGTCGCAGACGAGCTGCTCGATCAAGAGGACGACCCTCAGTTCTGGTCTGGTTCCTTCAAAACCATTGACGAACGATACATTGTGCTGGAGAAGGGATCTGGCGAGACCTCAGAAGCATGGTTTATTGATCTAGAAGCCGACAAAGAATCCTCTGGAAGCACGACAAAGCTTGAATGCATTGCTCCTCGACGTTATAGGACTTTGTATGATGTCGATTACCGCACAGGGTACTGGTGGATTACATCAAAGACTGGAGAAGAAACCCCCAATATGCGCTTGTTCACAGCACCTGCCGAGGCAAATTGTCAAGATGAATGGAAGTTGATTGAAGGCCCTGATGGCAAACCCTTGTTTGATGGTGGTTATGATCGTGCCCTCCACGGTGTCAGTGCCTTTGAATCTCATGTTGTAGCCCATGGACGAGAAGGTGGAATTCCAAAAGTTTGGATCATGGGCATGGATGGAGGAAATGCAGTGAGCAGCTTTGAAGCATTGACATTTGATGAAGAAGCCTACGATTCTGGTTTGAGTGGTCACTACGAATACAAGACAGATACAATTATGGTCTGGTATGATTCCTTGATCACACCTACGCAATGGATGGAGATTTCCTTGGCCAATCTGAGCGAAAGGGTGGTTGTCAAGCAGAAGAAGGTGCCAAACTACAACAAGGAAGAATATGACTGCGATCGCTATTTGGTCACTTCTCGAGATGGAAGCGCCCAAATCCCAGTTTTGAGAGTATACCGAAAGGATGTCATGCAGGAACACCAGGCTGGTGGAAAGCCTGTGCCAACCCACCTTTATGGATATGGATCCTATGGTCATTGTTGTGAGGCAGAGTTTGTTACCACTCGGTATGTGTTTCCTGTATCTTCGCCTTTTCTGCTACATTGCCGCTGCTGTCAACCTAACTAGACCTTTTCTGCCAAAAGCTTGGAGCTCATGCGTCGTGGCGTGGTCTATGTCATTGCACAGATTCGTGGCGGCGGGGAACTGGGTCGTAAGTATCATTCTCTTTGATTGTTTGTATTGCTGCTGTTTCCAGGGTTTGAACATGTCATAATGGTGTTGTCTCTTGCCATGTTGGATTTTTGCGTGCATGCAAACAGGCCAATGGTATGAAGAACCCAATGGTGCCAAATACCTCTGCAAGAAAAACACCTTCAACGACTTTGTGGATGTGGCAAGGGATCTTGTTGATGGCAAGAAGCTAACCACCCCGGAACTCCTTTCATGCGAGGGCCGCAGTGCTGGTGGACTGCTCATCGGTGCAACGATCAACCAGGCACCAGAACTCTTCAAGTTTGCCCTGATGGGAGTTCCTTTTGTTGATATCGTTTGTACCATGATTGACTCTTCCATCCCACTCACCACCAATGAGTGGGAAGAATGGGGGGTAAGTTTCCAACATGGAAGCTGAAGATCAATTGTTTCCGCCCGCCTTGTCTTCTGACACCTGGCTTTCTTCCTTCCATTAACAACTGTTCACACACTCACCCAGAATGTCAATGAAGAAAAGGTAAGCATTCGGCAATTTCGTGGTTGACACGTTCCACTCCTGGTGCCTAACTCCTTGCTGGTTTCATGATACAGTACTTCAAGTATATGATGGAGTATTCTCCCATGCAAAATGTCAAGGACGGAGCCAAATACCCCAATATCCTCATGATTTGTGGTTTGAATGATAGCCGAGTTCCCTACTGGGAAGCCTGCAAATTGGCTGCTACTATTCGGCACAAGCACGGCGCAGAATCAGGGTCTGTCTGTGTCAAAATTGAAATGAGTGCAGGGCACTTCAGTGCAAGCGACCGATACAAGTATTACCGTGAGTTGGCATTTGATTATGCATATTTGCTGGATCAGCTTGGTCTGGCCAACACCGACGCCAAATAAACACTCAGAAGGTACAGCGTACACATCTGGTCCAGTAGAAACAGAAGGCGTCAGTCTACAAATCACCCTTCCAGTAATTACTAGTCGGTTGTTTCTGAAAATCTTAGCTAGCCTACACGCCGCAGAAGGCAAGTGCCACAGCTGACAGAACCCAGAGCAAACTGGACGTGACGCCTATACAACCAGAGCTTTCTCCACTTGCGGCAAGCTTGTCGCCGTTTTCAACCTCCGCTGCCTTGTCTTCTGTGCTTAATAAAGCGTTGCTCATGTGTCCCATGTGTTCTGCGCCATCGAGTTCACATCCCTCGGGCTCTGCCCACAGTGGCCTGCTACCGCTGGGGCAAAGACCACAACTGCGCTTGCAATAAACGGAAGGTACGAACATCCCAATGCCATCTACCCATGTGGCCTCGTTGCAACTGTAGCCATTAGCATCGAATGTTTCTTGATCGCAGCGGCAATATCCATCTTGAACTCCATCGATGCCGTGGCAGAAGCTCGAAGTTGACAGAATATCTTCACATGGCATGAAGGACATGCTGTGAGTGTCAATTTCACCGGCCCGCCCCACCTCGAGGTTGGTGGAGGGAATTACGTCAGTGTTGCTGCAATCGTGGCAGGGTGCCGTGGGGGCAAAATCTCGTGCCATGAGCCACTCGTTCATCCAGGCGATTTCTGCCCGTTGCGTAATAGTGATGTTGTCACACAAGTCAATCAAATATTCGTCCTGGCTGGTCTCTACGAGAATATCGCACATGACCACAGCCGATGCATGATGTGGCAACATCATACGAACAAAGTCTGTGGAATGATCACACGAGTAGGATATCGCCATGAGGTCATGCATCTTGTGATTGACTTCGATGAACTTCTCAGAAGAAGGCGCCGTCAAATTGCCGCAAGATTCCGGCATCATCATCGCTCCACCCATCCCGTGATCGTGATCTCCGCCCATGCCATGATCTCCACCCATCGCGTGATCTCCAGCCGGGTCCTGTCGCATCATTCCGGCCATGCCCGTGTCGGAGCCGCATGAAGCCAATTCCGCCAGACCTTGTAGCTGCAGCCAACGTCTCATTCCACCCACCTCAATTTCCTGTTCGAGCTTTACATGATTGCAGAAATGAACCAACCCTTCTAGATTGTCCGTTTCCTCGATTACTGTGCAGGTCAAATTCTGCAATAGACCATCGCACATATCCACCGCTCCCATGTGATGTGGGATCATTCCGCGCACAAAGTCAATGTCGGGGATGCCGGTGTACTCGATATCCATCATGCCATGGTGCATCTTCGCGTTGATTGCTTCCCAGGTTTGCACGGCTGCAGAGCACAATTCTCCACCACAAGCACCCTTGGTCGGTGCCTCGTAGCTGACACCAGCCGTGACACAGGGCTCAACGAGAGAGCTGTCACACACCTCTCCCATTTCGCAAATCTCTTGGGATGGGTCAAACGCTACTTCTTCGCAACCAATGGGCCTTTGTGCCGTAGGACAGCTGACCACTGGGAAACACTCCTCTTGCGAACCTCTTTTCTCGGAATAATCTCTCATGTCTCGGTTGCAACCTGGTGTATCAATGTCGTACCGAGTCCAGAAGTTTTCTACCCAGGTTCCCAAGGCAATGCCTAGCTTGGAGGATGTGTCCTGCTGGAGAAAGACAGCCACATGGTACGCAGCACCGTTGCCTTCGACAAGGATATTGTCGTCTGCATCCAACACTCTCCAGCTGTGAGATCCTCCAAAGGGTTCATAGAAATCACACCGTCCACCTACAACCCTACTGGCTCGTCGCATGACGGTTCCCAAGTGATCACAAGTGGATTGATCCTGAGGAGAGGATTGAAAGTAGGCTCCAATATTGCTCCCGCTATTCCAAACGGGATCGTTGCGAACCTCCAGCGGTACTTGCTCCCATTCGTCGGCAGTCAGTTGTGGCAATCCAGGCCCAATGATCAAGGCATCGGCACGAACGTCGGCAAATCGATCTTGTGTAGGAATACCCACGCCCACGTAAAAGGGTTGATTGGGTGTCTCGTTTGTCACTTCAATCCATACGGCACGGTGGGTACAGTCCAGATAATGCTTGAAAGCCCAGGAAATGGTAGGATCTGCCAGTGGCATGGCTGTAGCGGATGATCCATAGTCTTCATCGCAGCTGGCCCTTGTTGTAGCGGGACGATGGGCCGACACCAATGTGGTTCCAACCAGTAGGTTAAAACTGAGAAAACACGAGAAAAACAGCCGAGAGAACATCATCTTCGCAATCAAGTTGCTTGAAGAGCACTGTTACCAGGCGAGTAGTGAACTTGCCGATGATGGTTCCTCGTGAGCAGCAGTGTGGTGATGAGCACCCATGCGGTGATGATGATGAAGACGGAGCTGTTACTGAGATCATCGTGCTGCTGTACTTCGGAACATGGAAGCGACGATGATGGAAATATCTGACGACACGGCAGTGCTCATGAGTCAGAGTTCTGGAACACGACGAGTAGAAACAGATTTGAAGACCCATAAAACGATTTAGAAAGCGTTATGTGAAATCTCCATTCAGAATTATGCGTAGAAAAGAAAGGGCTTAGGGGAACGCTGTTGAGGACCACCACCGCGGACCCTGCCACCACTACCAGAACCGTACGGAAGTCAATCTTGGAACTCAAGGTGACAATCAAAGGAGAGTTTGGCATCAGAGTACTTGACACATGTGGCTTGTAGGATGCGGGCAAGTTTTGCTGGGGCACAGACAATGACAGCCACACGAGTCAGTCCATTCCCCAAGGCCTCAGCTCTCATGTCTGCAAAGATCTGTTCCACATCAGGACGACCAATGTGAACAAAAGGCATGTTTGCAAGGTTCTTCGGTGCTTGACCTTTGCTAAGATATACCTGAATGTCCAGAATATCTGACAAATCAGCATTGTTGTAGGCACCCCCAAAAGTGCTTTGATCAGAGGCTGTATTCTTGCTCGGTGCAGCCTTCCGAGTCTTGGTCTTCTTGCATGAGACCGGCAGGTCTTCCTTGAGCTCAGCATCATTTTCTTGACTTGGGGGCACTAATGCTAGAAGCATGGATGCAAGATCAGTTGTCTGACTCACACCATCATTGAAGACACTACGTGAGACAATGCTATGCAGGTCCAATTCCTCCAAATCCAGATCAGTAGGCAACTGGAAATGGGAACTGATGCTGGCACGACGGACAAGATCGGTTCGTTCAATACAGCAAGCATCACGGTCAGACCATACCATCCTGATCTTTTCCAGGTTCCTGTGGCCCTTGTTCTGCTCGTACACCAGTTGGTTGCAAATGCTTTGAATGGGTGTGATGCCAATACCTCCACTGAAGAGAAGAAATGACTCGTAACGGTCGCTGAAAATATCAATGTTGGGACTTCCATTGGGACCCTCAACCAGATTGGAAACCTCGTCCTTTTCCATTGCCAGTTTGTGAAGTGCTTTGGTCCAGGCACCTGCAACATGGATCATGATGCTGACATTTGGCTGCTGGGGACAGGTGGCAATACTGAATGGATGGAACTCTAGACCAGCCCCAGTAATTTCCGTTACAGCAATGCTCAGATGCTGGCCAGCATTGTAGTCAAAGGCTGCTGTTTTGGGGAAAGAAAGCTCAGTCACAGTGTCACTGACGATACGCACACGGGCAGTCCGGGGATATCGGAAGCAAGCCATGATGATCTTTCGGCACAGTAGGTCACCACCCCAGAGGATAGAAGCCAAGATTGGGACAAGGATTCCTGAATGGTAGAATGCACAGGCTGTCATCAAGATAACAAAGACGACATGCACGTAGTAGAACGCTTCAAAGCACCAGCTCCGGACTTGAGGGAAGGAGGTAATAGTAACACCCACAATCAACAAAAAGAGACCTGTTCCAGAGCTGTTGAGTTGGTCAAAGAATAGAAACTTGTGGACGGTTTTCTCCAGAGCATCACCATGAGCCACAATGGTGTGGAGAATACCATTGAAGAATGTAAGTCTGCCTAAGACTTTGTGATACCACAGGGCCCGCTCAAATGGCAACCCAATAAGCAAGGTGATCAGAGAGTTTCGCATTGCTGTTGCTAAGGCAAGGATGAGGGGAAGGCGAGCAATCTGCCCGGACCAATATGTACTGGGCCAAACAAATGCAAAGAGCAAACCACCCACAAAGAAAAGAACAAGTGGAAGGATCAGGAGCAGCTCTGCCATAGTGCAGAAGCCTTTTGCAGCTGTTTTGAAAGAAACACCCGACGCTGGAGAGGATAAGAACAGCGCCAGCGAAGTGAATAGAGGTGCTTGATTTCTTTGAGTAACCTGGGTGATTTATCGACCAGCCAGTAGAGAGGAGGGAATTCCAGGAGAGGGTGAGGCTCATTGGGGCATTGCTTGATCACCCATGGCTTCTCCTGGAAGACACCATCCTGTGAAGAGTCACCTTCCAGGCCAATTCTGCCCTTGTCTTGCTGAGTAATGGGGATTTCTTGGTCAAAGAGGGTTCCAATCCCAATAGTGCTGATTGAGGGTATAGAGGCTTCTTTATTGCCAATGCCACCATTGCGTTTCTTGGTAGTGGGGATTACTTTGCCAGAAAGAGTTGCAATGTCGGTAGTGCTCATGGTAGTCTCATCGGAGTCCTTATCTTCGGTTGCGAGGGCATCTCGGATAGGCGTTCCCAAGGGTACATCGATTTCCTCGTGCACTTGAACGTCATCTTGGTCTGGGTGTTTGTGAGCTGATATGGGTCTTTCGTGTTCATTTTTGCGCCGTTGTGATCCACAGGCTAAGGCAAAAGTCCCATGCGCGGAGTCATGCTGACGCACCCGTTGAAATCCTTGCCCCGGAGACCTGCCGCTGGTCTTCTCTCTAGTTGGCATAGGAGCAGGGAACACTTTGGACAGATTTGGCGCAGGAACTGCAGTACTGCCACTATCTGCATGAGCAAGGGTAGCAGCATCAACAGCTCCGCCTTGTGGGGTCGACGATGTGTGCTTGGTCCTGCTTTCTCCTGATTCCAATGGTGTCTGGTTGCTGTCAAGGGCGAACGAAAGAAATGTACCCGAGGTACTGGAAGGAATTGTACATGAAGTGCTAAAAATGGCTTTTGTTGGTCCACGTGCCCTTAGTTGCTGTTGGAAAATAGAAAGCCTAGCGTCAGCAGAAAGCTAGGTAGATGGAAAGTTGTGACATACATCAGAGTATGCCTTGTGCTGGGGAGACTCTGGGCCCTCGTCGAAGAGTTTGGTGTGGCACAGAGAACTGCAGGAAAACAGAAAGGAAGAACTTTGTGTGATTCACCACCTGCCTATAGTACATGTAGAGGCATCATCTTGGTTGCGTATGGCTGTTGCTTCTTTGCTGTAGCTTCGAAGACATCGAAGGCATCCAAGTTTTGGCTACCGGTAGCCTGCTAGCAGTATTGAGACGATCGTTCGTGCTTAGCCTTGAGAGGGTGCTTTCTTTACCTACAATGTAGCCCTAGCTAGCACCAACCCCGGAGGTGTGTGATGTGGTGTAAGTTTGTGAATGAAAAATAAGCCAGCTGATTTCATTGGCTGATTGACATCTGTCACATCAGTCTTTCCCGCAGATTGACAGGAGACTCCGACCATGACGACGGTGCATTGCCACTCCGCCGTTGTTGGAACTACTATACCGAATCAATCACTTGCATCCAACCAAAGTCCTGCATCCAACCAAAGTCCTACAAAGCAAGAAAGCATTTGGTACGGTACCAGCTAGATAGCTAGAGTCCTGTATCGTTTCAATTCCAAGGATCACTCTACTGGGATACCCTTGACAGCAGAATTCCGACTTCCATTATTATTATCTATTTCGACAACAATGCCGTATACGACGCTCCCTCCCCCGTCGTTTGAATCCATTCCTCCCGGCAGTCGTCATCGACGCCATGATTCTGATTTTCTGGTGGATCCTTTACTAATCACCAACACTTCCAACCATTCCAATCATGACGACGACTATTACAACCACAATCACAATCCAATAAGCATGACGACAGTCCGACAACGGGGTCGTATTTTGGATCGTGATGCGGACTTTTATCAATCGCGAGGACGTTGGAGTGGCGTCGAATTGTTACCACGAGCATCGGGTCGTCGCAATCGATCGTCACTTTCGGTTGGCATTCATCCCAGTCGACGCCGCGTGCCGTGCTGTGGCAACTGCAAACGCGTCTTGCGACAATGGATGCCTCGACTGTGGGAAGATTGGTTCCATACACTGGCGTATCAACGGACGTTGGTGCTCATGAGCATTTTATTCATTACCTATTTTGCCATTGTGGCGGGATTTGCTTCCATCTACCTACTGGTCAGTCTGTTGGGAGCCAAGCCAGAGGAACAGCCCGATGGAAGTGTCATTACCAAAACTTTTTGTGACATGGATGTCACCAATCATATGGAAGCACTCTATTTCTCATTGTCAACTATGACTACAATTGGCTATGGGGTATCCGATTACTACTTTGGTGGTTGCTGGACACCCTTGTTGCTCGTGCTCGTGCAAGTGTGTACCGCCATTACCTTTGATGCGTGTGCTGTGGGATTGTTGTTTACCAGACTCTCGCGAGGACGCAAGCGAAGCAAGACGGTCGTCGTATCCAATCAAGCGGTGGTACAAGTAGTGCAAGGAATACCCTACTTTATGTTGCGGGTGGGCGAATTGAGGCGCTTTCCTCTCATTGATGCTTCGGTCAAGTTGTTTTGCATTCGACATGAACGTTTGCCGAGATTGTATCCATCCATTACTGCGGCAAATATTGCTGCTGCTGCTGAGGGAGACACCCATCGAACCGTGTCCTCGTCCTCCACATCCCCACAACAACAACGACAGTCCAATGACAACAACAATAGAGATGAGACCAATGCACTGCAATCCATCCCAACAACTACAACAAACCCGCAATCCAAAGGAAATGTTCCTCCTCCAGCAGTAGTCCCCGTCGACACGACACACTTTGTGACACGACACATGAAAGTATTGCATCCCGACGATGATACTACCACCCATTCCAATCACATTCTCATGAGTTTGCCACAAGTCATGGTCCATCGTATGGATGATACATCTCCACTGGTGCCACCCGCCGAATGGTACGATGCGCGGGGACGACACCACCAATATCCACCGCACAATCCCGATCGTTGGCTCGATATGAATCAAAAAGCCGTACAAGACTTTTGGAACGATCGAGCCATTGAAATTGTTGTGTTGGTGGAAGGAACGGATGAATTGACGGGAGCCGCCATTCAAGCGCGACATTCCTACAGTGCCGCCAGCAACAACTGTAATAACCACAACAACAATACTACTACCATGAGTGACCAAGAGATGGAAGAAGAAGAAGGAGATGTGGTATGGAATCGAGCATTTGCCAGTTGCATTCTACCGTATCGGCCAGAAGATGCATTGGACTACGATGATGATGTGGAAAGTATCACACAATCGTCACGGTATCGACGGAACCATTATCCAGTTTGTACGGTCGATTTTGAACGGTTTCATGATACTGTACCGGTTCCAAGAGATTGCTTTGCATCTCCCTATTTACCGAGCTAATAACACGCCATGCCATGCCAGGCTACATTGATCGAGTTCATGCAATCGACACCCCATCAAACATAGAGACTAAAGTGAGCATTGGTAGTTTTATAGATCATAACGCCAAAAGTCAGAAGCTAAGGATTAGAAGAGTAGCAAAGTACAGACCCACAAGTGTCCTCCACCGAGACTTTACTAGTTAGTTTATGCAATACAGTTAGTCTTGCTGTCTTGCTCAAATAAAGCAACTTTGGCTAACAGAGCAGAGCCCGCCCCATGACTCCACGCACCAAGGTTAGTTACACACACACTCAGCCTTCTTCTTCGTCTCTTTTATTACTTGGACTTGGTATGAAGCAGGCCGCCGCAGAAGATGCAAAGTACAGGGCAGCTGCAGTGAAAGAAACTACGGTAGCACCACCAATTTCACAATTGCTAAAGACGCATTTTGGCTTGGAGTTCAAGATCACGGCAGTACAAGCCTGGATAACGGATGCCACCAAGAAACATCCTGCCGAAGAAAGTTTCCCACAACAGGGTATACAGCCTTCTATGCACGTTGCAAAGCACATGCCACCCAACGCCCAGGCTGCTGCAACGGCACTGCAGGTCATGGCTGCTACCACGTAGCTATATTGATAGTGGCCCAGATCAACGCCCCACCAAATGAAAGAGGCAATCGAGCAGCCGACTCCCAACATTCCCATGCATCTGCAGGACACCAAAAAAGGTAGTGGAAAAGACGGACAGCAAAGAGTGTGAGCGGTGGATGCACAAAGGTGGCATCCAATCGAACAACTTGATCCCACCCCAGATAGCCAACCTAAACCAAGATACCAACTCACGCTACGCAACCTTGCACCATCTTTCTTTTTTGCTGCTTCAAGAGATCCTTCTCAATTCCTTTGTTGTGCTGATCCAGAGATGGCTATTAATAGACTAGCTAGTTGCCCATCAGTCTTTTCTCACTGTTGAAGTCTTGAGGGAGCTCTGGGTCATCCTTCTCATTTGTTTTCTCCTTGGCGTGACAGATGACTGCGTGCCAAGTTCGTCGGGAAATAGAAAACGAAAGCGTCGGCGAATTCATTAATGGAATTGGTTGACGTCTCTTTAATTATGAGCTATCAAAGATACAGCATTTCTGTTAAACCTTTGAGTCTCGAATGTTTCAAGAGCAGGGCGAGAACTGCAAATGTCACCAAATTGGGCGACCGCACCTCTCGCATCGCCGATGGCGTCGCGTCTTCTCAACAAAAGCATTCGGCTTTCGCCGAAAAGATCGGGGAGCCTCATTCTTCGATCGCAGAGTAGTGTGTTGCCTCATCAAGGATACCCAACACAGAGTACTGCCCCATCCATCCAATCAGAAAAGTTGGTTACTGTACGTTGACTTTTCTCTGCTGAAAGATACACACTACCTAGAAAAATGCCGTCTTCCATGCAATACATTGCTACCATTGGTGTTGGCTTTTTGGGCCTTTGCGTGGGCGTTTCGGTTACATACTACAATATGGAAATGGAATTGAAGCGGAAAGAGAAAATGGCAGAGCTAAGGAGAAAAAATGATATTCAAACCTTGGAAGTGACATTGGCGAAGCAACGAGAGGTGATCAAGAAACTACGAGGGAGTTTGGCTCTGGCCATGAAACGACCCATGATCAGCTCCCCACTTTCTTCGCCACTCTCATCGCCCGATAGTAGGATCCGACAACGGTAGCAGGATCAGGTTTGTTTTTTGGAGAATCGATTAGAAATATTGGCCGTAGATCAAAGGAAGATTTGTTGGTGTTCCAGACCCATGAATATGCACATCGTTGGCCACTTTGGATTGCCTTCAATCATTCAACTACAGTCCCACAATCAAAATGAACAGAAGAGCAACAATACACTGTATACCCAACTATAGATAAAAAGAAAAAGTTGGTCAACTACGGGAAAAAACTAGAAACATCATATCCTTAGATATGAGGGAGGGATTGCTGCTGTCGATTGTCAATTGTTTGTTTGTAGTTTGTGGTGTTCGTATTCCTTGGCATGCAAATAGTTGGTTGTTGTTTTCTTATGCTCACGTCAGAGTACCACCCTCTTGAGTAGCAGACGCTTCTTGCTCTGCCGCATTTCCCGTTGGTGTTTCGGCACCGTCCAGAACTGCCTGTGCTTCGTCTCCCCGCAATTTCTTTTCCGCCTCCAAAATAGACGTATCCCCGGTAATTTCGGCAAAGTAGACAGACATGTCTTCCAGGGATCGTCCCTTGGTTTCGGGCAGGTAAAAGTAGAGAAAGACGCAGACAATCAGACAGACAAAGACCATTAACAAAAAGAATCCCGCCCACGTCAATGTATTTTTGGTGGAGAGAAAGGTGGAACTCATGAGACAGGCCGTCGCTCGATTGAGTGTCGTGGCGATACTCATGGCCTTGGCACGAATACTGGTGGCAAAGACTTCGGAGGGTACCAACCAAGCCCCCGGTCCCATACCAAAACTGAAACAAGCCAAATAAATGGCAATGACAATGGTAAGGAGTACCGCGTTGGGATTGTCATTGTCGCTGGTCCAATAGATAATGCTGAGAGCCAATAATGCCACGGCCATTCCTGAATTCAAAAGCAATTGCAAAGAGCCGAGAATGAGAAATCATAGATCAACCAGTTGCAACATACCCAATTGTAGTATCATACAATCAATCATGGCGATAGTAGTACATACCAAGCAAGGACGCGAAAAAGAGGGGACGACGTCCACGGGTATCAAAGAGCGATCCACTGACAAAAATGACGGCCAATTTTACTCCTCCCAAAATGACCATGATGAAGGATTGCATGCGATTACTTTCGACTCCCGACGTTTCCAAGACATCCGTCAGATAGTACTGTAGGGCATCAATTCCAACCGCTTGTTGCGCAACGGCCGTTCCAATACCGACAATGAGCATGCGACGAAAGGCAGGAGTGGGACTGCAAATGACACTCCATCCCAGAGTTTGTTCGGCAATTCGTTCTCGTTCCAATGCTTCTTTGATATCATCGACAATTTCAGTCACGGGATAATTGGGTGGATAGACTTGTTCTAGGACCGTCTTGGCTTCCGCTTCCATGCCCTGACTGACAAACCAACGGGGCGATTCGGGCATGACATTAATGACCAAGAAAATCATGACCGAGGGCAAGATCATGCCCATGGCCAACATGATGCGCCACTGTGCTCCCGTATTGATATCGGCAAAGAAAATGCCCATGGAAAATCCCAATACGATACCGGCATTAATGGCAATTTCACTCCACGTTACCAAGCGACCTCGGTGTTTGGCCGGCGAGATTTCACTAATGTACACTGGATCGACCTAATATTGGAGAGAAAAGAGAGTGAGTGAATGGTTGAGTAAATTGGCCCTTTGTTTTTCTGGTTGTATGTGTATACATATATTTCTCTTACCGCCATTCCAACTCCCACTCCCAACCCAACAAAGACACGTCCAAAAATCAAGATTCCAAAGTTGGGTGCCAGCGACATGATGATGATTCCAAAAATAAATCCAATGGCGGCAATGATAAATGTCTGACGTCTTCCATAGGAATCACTAAAGTAGTTACTGGCAAATGCTCCAAACATGGCAAAAAAGTTGAGCGAGCCCACAAAGATTTCCCGCTGAACGTCCGAGAGTTCAAAGTCTTCTTGAATCAATTGTCCCACACTGGTCGAAACGCCAATATCAAATCCGAGATTGCAGGAATTCACTGCCGCGCAAAGCGCAAACACCTTGGTGGCTTGCAGTAACGGAATTTCTTGGCCTCCATAGTCGCCATGGTGTTCTCCTTCGTGAGATTGTTTCAGCGTGGGACGACTGGAAGAGGGCGTCTCCACGTTGGGAGGAACAGGAGTCATCTCGGTGCTGGCCATGCCGAATCAATAGAAAAGATACAGTTGTTTCTTCTTCTTCTTGTCTTGTCTTGTCTTGTCTTGTCTTGTCTTGCAACGACAGCAACAGCAACAGCAACACACTAGCAAACTAGAGCAGGTTCGTTTCGTTGAGCAACTCGAATAGAAATGCAGCAATGACTTTACTTTGGAAAATGAAGAAGCACACAAAGAGGTCCTGCGATCTTTTGATCTTTTGTGCAGCTTTCAGAAAATAAAGGATCGCGCCAGCTTCAACGGTCATCATTGGTGTTGGTTGAAGCGAACTCTGGCGTGGGCCTTGTGAAGAACAAGAAGCCTTCTTTTGCTTCGGCATCAGTGACAGAAGGTACTGTAGGGTATGGAGCAAGTCATTCGAGTAACCAATACTTTTAATTATTAACACGTGGGAAAAACGATTTAGCAATACTTTACCCAGGACTTAAAGCACTGGTACCGGTCCCGCTATCCTCACTTATCGAATATCGATCGTAATGAGCTTTAGATTAGAGATAAGGTTTTCGGGCCAAAACCCAACAGCTGACACCCTCCAGCTCCTCTCTCCTATTTATTTGTCACTCCTGTCCTCCAACTCCTGTCGTCCTCACTTTTTTCTTCTGCAATCCTTTCGGAAATTACCGCATGGAAGCACCATTCGCCATGGGCAACACCACAAGCCCGTGAAGTTGCCAATCCATTCCCAATTGACGCAAATGTAGTCGTCGATCCTCAGGCTGAAGCAGCAATCATTGTGCCACAAGCACTGCTGACATTGGCACAAGCAGCAGTACTTGCCAATCCTCGAGGAAGAGCAGTTGTAGTTGTCGTGGGAGTCGCCAATCAACAAGAACATGGAGCCCAGGGGCAACCAGCAGCAGCAGCACCACTGCCATTCGTGATACCACCCGAACTACGAGGTCACATTCTGTTGCTGTTGAATGAATTGATTGCCCTGAATAAGCAAAAGGGACCCATGGGAAGAAAGGCAACAAGAAAATATCTATATGGATTGAAAAGTACCTGGAATTCTGCATGGCCACTCGCATCATGAAACGAACTGGGCTCTACAACTGGTGCTACGAACAGCGGCAGAACCAATACTTTTTGGAGTCAGCAAACGCCAAACCTCATCGTGGAGAACCCCCTCGTGGAACTTCCCAAAGGAAGCGAACTTGCAATTTGCTTTGCTCCAGGCGGCTAGATTCTGCTTTGAAAAAAATCGGGATTAAGCAAGCCAAAGCAGCCAATGACGCTTGAGCATTGTGTTTGCTGGATGGGGGTGTCACATGGTTTGCTCTATGCTTGATTGTGAGCAAGAGGCATAGAAAACCGCTGATGCTAGCAATAGTGAACTTGGAATCCTAATGTAGCTTTGTCGGTGTCCATTTTCTAGAATAGAGCTTGCAGTATCGTGCTGATGATTGATGGTGATCCTCACGATCTTACATTTCAACCGTAACTCCGGTACAGTGTACGATGCACCCAGAATGAAGAGTGCAAAGCAATGGTGCCACCAATGCAACGATGCACGTACGAAGGGTCTCGAGTCTCGAGACTCGAGACCTGGTTTGGGTCTTTTGGGTGAGAGTACGGCTCGGGAGTAATAAGTCACACTTCTCTTTGAGTTTTCGTTCCCTTGAGTCACAGGTTCGAAAGCCAAATCCTTCTCCAACCTCCACCAGCATCTCGTCTACAACTCCAGTAGCATTACAGATAATCCTTCTGCTCTGGCTCTGTTATACATCTATACAAAGGCATCATACATCGATACCTTGTTTCCTGAACAAGCAAGCAATCAAGAGATCCCCAAAGCAATCGCAACAATGGAGTTTGATCCTGCCGAGAATGACATGGACTCTGAAGTGTTGGAGAATGCTCGATACATTCCCGTAGTTGTGTTGGGGACGCTGTCTAGCACTCTATCGCTGATCGGTTCCGGTTGCATTGTCTACATGTCCTCTCAGCAACTAGATCAGATCAAGCAACGCCTCCTCTTTGGACTTAGCTTGGCGGATTTTGTGAATTCAGTGAGCCGTCTGCTGATGCCATTCATGGTACCAGCCAGTCTGGGGCTGCCCGGAGCACTAGGGGACCATGCGAGCTGTTCTGCTGTCGCCTTCTTCTTTGCGGCATCCAACAAGTTAGCAGCCAGCTATGCTGCATATTTGAGCATATACTTTCTCTTGTTGGTCCGTCGTAATTGGAAGGAACATGACTTTACCTTTCCTCTGGAATTTGCAGCGCATGCGATTGCCTTGATCATTCCTTTGGCATTGGACAGTGCAGCTGTGGCGACAGAATCGATGAACCCAAGAATATCCGTGAATAACCTATGTCTCTATTCAGCGTACCCCCCGGGGTGCACAGATGAAGATGATTGCGAGCGGTCCACATGGCGCACCGGCGAGACACTGGTGGACATTGCATCTATCCACTTCTTCTTCAACATTGCACTGTGTCTCTTTTGCACTGGGTTGGTTTGGGTGACAGTCCGAAAAACGCTTAGGCGGATAAGCCGGTACAACTTTGCAGTATCATCTTCAGTGGTACAGGGCGAACTCCCACTGGGTTCCTACTCCAAGAGATGGAGTTCTCGCTTCTTGTTGGCAAGGACAAGCAGCTGGGAATCTCAACCAGACCTCCAAGGGAAGCGCATTCGGCAAGTCGGCACTCGGGCTCAATTGTATACTGCAGCATACGTCCATACGTGTTTCTGGCCGCTGCTCTTGGTGATCATGACAAACATTTATTCACCGGAGGATGTTGAAGAAAACAAGCTGAACCCTGGCTGGTATGCCCTTTTAAAAATTTAATGTCCTCTTACCTCCGCAGGTTAACTGCCTGAGTCCTCTACCCCTTTAATGGCAAATATTCTGTCTGTGGGATCCCCCTGGTTTTGTCTGTGGGATCCCCTTGTTTAGTGTCTGTGGGATCCCCCTCATTTCCTGTCTGTGGGATCCCCTATTCCGGTGAAGCCAGGGTATAAGGATAGAGATAATATAAGCTGGCAAAACTGGAAATTGAAGGTTCAATAAAAAGTTAGGGGTAGGAATATATCAATGTAATTTAAGGTTAGTGCACTCAGCACAAAAACACAATAAGCCAGCAAGTGTTGTAAATCTAGAGTTACACGATCGAATGATAGCTGTAACCTATGGGTTAGCCCGTGGCAACGCCAAGACTAGCTTAATATAAAACAGAAGGTTACAATGAGGGAATGATAGTGGGCGGCAACACCCGACGTGTCGTCAGGGCTAGCTTAAATAAAAAAGAAGGTTATAATGAGGGAATGATAGTGGGCGGCAACACATGACGAAGTTGGGTGTTGTCGCCAGGGCTAGCTTAAATAAAAAAGAAGGTTACAATGAGGGAATGATACCGGGCGGCAACACACGACGAAGTCGGGTGTTGTCGCCAGGGCTACCTTGAAAGAAGGATGCAATCTCAAACACGATCCTCTTTCTTCTATTTCGTCTCCTGGAGACGATTTGCTTTAGGGGTAATGGTACCGATGGGGGCAGAGGTTTGAATTATACCCGGCGCGCATTACTTAGAAGGCCCTGTAGAAGTCTACGTATTCGACTAGTGGTTTATTCAACTCGACAACGGCTGCAAGATTCGGGCTTTTTTTCAGGTCAAGTCAAATCTATCTTTGTGGAACATGAAATGGAGACTATTATGCCAGTACTTTTTATGTAACGGAGCAAGACTACACTTTCAGTACCAGATGGTTTTTATGACGGAGAAGTTGTACACACCAAGATGAAGGGTAAGCAGTTCCCGATTATCAGCATTCTGCGACAACTGGACACAAATTACAGGATATACTGCATGTGTGGTTATTGGTACATTCATGGCGATACTGTCAAAACTGGGCTTACGTGGTGTTATCAAGGGTGCGAACCATGAGTGGTTTGTTCTTTTGAAGAAGCTGGATTGGGATCAAAGAACTTTGCATGCCACAACGAATAGAGACATGCTTGCAAGATTTAAGGATCTATTGGGCTTTCTGTCCTAGGAGAGATCAATACGATGAAATGTTCCAGCGAGAAGACGGTTTCTTGTTATAAGTATGAACGGTAGGAATATAGGGTAAATTAATCTTATATAAAACATTTTATTACTACAACTACCTTTCTGAGATTCGCATTGCACCTGTACGTCATTCAATGTCAGTCATTGAAAAAGATCAAGCGTCAATCAAATCACAGGCGACCCCGAAAAATTAGGAACAACTTTTAAAATGTGAAGAACGCAAGGGACTTTCATGTGCATGTACATGCGTTGACTGTATCCCGTCAATACAAT